AACTACTGTATTACTTTGTGCTGCCTTCCCTCTGGACCGGTGAAACCTCCGAGGCTGCATTGGGCTGGTGTGATTAGTGTGCGCCACCACTGCAGGGACTTGACCGTAGCTAACCTATTGGGGCTCAGCCTGGTCACGTGACCCAGGTCTAGCTCACTCCACCAATCTCGTTCGGGAAGGGAACAGTTGACTGAAGTCACTGCTGTCCCTTTACTTGCCAGTCCTGCTCAGTCCCAGAATGTCTGCCACCAGAGTCCCCCTTTCTGTGGAATGGCTCCACTCCCATCACTCACCAGAGGTTGATGTAGGCACCCTGCCAACTCAGCTCTCCGTTCTGCTCACCAACCCCGAACTCAATGTAACTGTGCCTCCAATTAGTTGAAGTGGCGGGACCTTGGATGGCTTGGCAAGTCATGGCGGGACCCCAGGAAATCATGGCGGGACCCCAGCAAGTCGCAGCAGGAACTTGGCCAGTGGCAGCGGGTCATCTGATGGTTGGCAAGTTGCCTTAACTTCTTCTTGGGACGAGAGAATTCTCTCCCTCTGTTTGGGGCTCCCCAGTCTGAACTGTGTTGAATTCTAAGTTGCCTATGTCAGGGAGCTTCTGTGGCCAGCTGTTATCTATCCGCCATCTTTGCTCCTCCTTTGCATCTGTTCATTATTACAGCATCACACAGAGTAATTTCCTTGCTCTCAAAGTCCTTTGTGCTTGGCCTGTTTATGCCTCTTTCCCCCTGGTCCCTGGTAGCTGTTGCTCTTTTAACTGTCTCCAGAGTTGCCTTTTGTAGAATGTCATATAGTTGTAATCACACACTATGTAGCCTTTTTAGATTGGCTTCTCTTACTTGGTAATAGGTATATATACAGAGGATATATATATATATACATATATATATATATAATATTAACTTGGAATTTCCCAAGGATGTATTTTATGGAAGATACCTGAACCTCTAGGTGAAAAGTGATCCATGGTCAACTAGGTTCGAGAGGTTGACTACCCAGTCCTCCTTTGGGAGAGTGGAGTTCACACTGTCATTATTAATTAGCATTGTTTAACTCACTGTTGCCCCAGAGATTTTTGTTGAAAGAGCTACTAATTACTTGCCACAAGATGGAGTTCAGGCAGCTCTTATCTAATACAGTCTATCATTTTACCTTCTTTTCTGTTTTGATTCCTACTCAGTCAACAGCTCCATTACATTATTTAAAATTCTTCTAGGGGAGCATAAAGCAGTATTTTACCAGTACCACATGTTCTGCACCAAATTTATCCATCCAAATGTTACTGCAGTAGCAACATAAACAGCCAAACACTAGATAATACAAACTGGAAAGCAGAACAAAAATTCCTTTCAATGCATTCATGGGTGCCTTGGAAAAACAAGTTGCACTCGCAGTGGATTAATTCAGAGGCTTGGAGGAATGGTGCACTAGTTAAAGGCAAAGTCAGGAGCTTACCAGCAATTGATGTTTTCAGAGTAGATCCCCATAGATGTCTCTTCACGTTGCAGGGATGAGCTTTGCTCCCTTGTGGATGTATTAACAAGCCAGCATCAGGAACTGGCCAGTATTTGCTCATTTTGGGCCAGTGTGACATTGTGCTCATATTTCTGTCCATTTGATACTGGCTCGTTTCCTCTTTGTTATCTGAAGTAGGGGCTCTTACTGTGTTGTGCATTGGGAGTTTCCCCAGTGGACAGTGTGACACTGAACACATCTTTTCCTTTTGTCTGTAACACTTCTTCGTCTTGACTGGAGTACTCTTCCTTCAAGATGCAACCAAAGTGTGTCTTTTTGATGATGCTTTGCCTGAATCAGGAAGGTGCCTAGTTCCACAGAACCTTCCACACAGGCTCTAGTGTGAGTTTCCACTTACTGCTCTCATCCCTTTCACCATTTCACCATTTCTTATTATGCTAGAGTGAAGATTTCTTACGGACAATTGCAGCATCGTATTGCTCTGCCTCAGAGACCACCACATGCTAGACCCATAGTAAGCATTCTACAAGTGTTTAATTAGTGAATGAAAGAAAGAATGAATAAACCCGAATATATATGACCTTCAAAATCAGCAATTAATATTGGGAATATGAACAAACACAGTCTCTCTGATTTCTTTTTAGGTTCCATAAGCAGTAGTTTGATGAGCTAATTCTTCCAAGTATAATAAATATAATTTAGTTTTTTTTAGCTTTACAGTGAAATGATTAAAACAGGGACACAGCTAATTTGCCTCCTTGTAACAAAAGCTGGTTGTTTTACAGTTTTAGCTATGTTAAGGCACATGTACAATTTTTTTCCTAATTAACTTTGTCTACCCTTGAAAACTTAGAAGTTGTTTCTTAATTTATAAAACTGAATTTAAAAGTCAAGCAAGGCTTGAGGTTTAGGAAGAACAAGTTAGGCATTTGCTTTTCTTCTTCTTGCTACCCATTATGTAAAACTTCCCTCATTGTCTCTGGGTTTCATTAGAGTTCATTTATTGAGTAGCATGGAATAAGGTGTGCGATGGGGTTAGATCATCTGGTTTGGTTGCAGGAAGTCACAAAGGTGAGACTGTTGAGACCTCTCTTTCTTCCCATTCCTCATTCCTCAGCCTTACCTTTTGTTTCCCTACAAAAGTCAGAAGGCCCCAGAGCAAGGCCATCATCTGGTTTGGTCCCTGCTATATCCCCAGGGCCTGGCACAACGTGGTATTGTAGTCAGGGGTTGTGAGGAACAATTAAAATCAGGACATGAAACTTCAGGAAATCTGTCCACAGCACCAAAGACAGAATATTCAGCCAAGGGCCTGAATCCCACTGCAGTGTCCTGCCTCAGTCCAGATGAGCTCATGACAATGCCTCCCACAAGTCCAACTGGAGGTCCAGTGCCCATGAGAAGGTCTCACACCAGTCTCTTTTATGGATCTGTGCTGGGAAGGCCCAAAGCTCAGCAGTGGAAGCCAGAATGTCCATGCCAGCAGGGTGAAGGATCTGTGCTGGTAGATTGAGGGTTCTATGCTAGAGCCAAGAAGTCACACTCACAACAAAGATCAGGGCTGTCCTGAAAAGCCTTACAGCCAGCCTCAGTGACACGGAGGCCCTGAGCTCCTTCAACGATAGGCACAGTCGAGTACATGCCAGGAAGCCAGTGTGATGAGTTAATCCTGGAGACCAAGCAGCACATGTCTTCCCCTCCAGAGCCAGGAAGCAATGTTCCACATAAGGACCAGAGCTCCTTCAGGAGAACCAACAGCTCAAACAGCAACAGGTAGAAGAACCCACAATGCCTCAATACCTCAATGCCTCAACACCTAGCTTCTCCTCCACGTATCTACTTATCCTGGCAACTTTCCTCAGATGGAACATCCATACTCAGCACCATGGTGATTAACTTCACTGGCATTAAGCTGACCTCCAGTTTTTAATGCATAACAGATGGGTTCTCATGAGACATTCAGAACGAATGCTTGCTGGGAGAGGTGGTGTGGGTGGGTGAGACTGAGGGTCAGAATCGTGATAGTGACCCTGGAGAGAGATAAAAGACTGGGGTAAGGAGAGGTCACTGCAGGGCCAGAGCTGACTGCTTTAGTGTCTGATTAGACAGCGAGCTCCGCGGACAGAAACACAACTAGTGCCTACAAAGCCTGGAGCCTGGTGGGTTCAAATGAAGGACAGTGAGAAGTGGAGCTCCAAGGTAAGCTTGCTGATCTCTGACTTAGACATAATGAATTTAAAGTTGTAGGTGTGATATCTACTGGGTAGTCAAGAACACAAGATTAGAGTTTAGTGGTTTCCACAGAGTAGTGGGGAAAAGCAAGATTTCAAGTGGTGCTTACCATTTCCAGAAGATTTCACACTATTGTTGTTGTTAACTTCTGAGAGTTGTTCAATAAAGATTTCTTTGAAAAGGAATTGGGATTCATATCTATCTAGAAGCAGTTGTTTGGCCATAGATGTAGTGGTTTGATTCCCAGGAAGATGCCGAGATGGAGCAATGTTAATGCTGGGAGGCCAGCGTTTTCTAAAGCTGTGACTGTCTACATTTATCTGTACCGTGGTTCATGTGTGGTGTACACCTGGAAAGTCTAGATTCTTAAGAGGAGTCTGCGGCTGGGGTAGAAAATACCTGAGTCTAAAGTATTAACTTACTGGATCCTTAAGTTTCAAAAAAATATAAAAACATCTTGTTTTATGTAACAGAAAATTCTCGATTTCCCTAGAAAGTTATATTTGGACGTTTCTCCAGAATAAATTGGCTGGGGTAAAGCGTTTAGAGATGACCTCTAGGGGCTGCGGAAAATCCTTCAATATGTGCTCTGTGGTCTGCAGTTACTGCTCTCACCGCTAGATGGTGACCTTGCACTGGCCGGGTGAGCTGCCCTCGGACGAGAGGGAGGGGGCGTGAAATTCAACCCCAAGTGGTTGGAACCCCCCCTCCCCTCCCTGCTCCTTTTTGAAACATAAAAAGCTTTTCTTTTTTAATGTTGTGAAATAAGATGGCTCATAAAATTTGAAATAATAAAAATAAAACAATTGACTCATTGTACAGATCATTGTACAGATCATGATGAGAATATACTTGAACACCTAGTTGAAAAGCCCATAGTGAGGCGAGGAGAGTGTTTAGGGGGCTGAAGCCCGGGTGCTAGCTCACCATCAGCACTTGGCATACTTGGCAAGTGGTTTGACTTTCCAGGACTCAGGAGACACGGCCTGAGGTCTGCATTTCTAATCTTCCCCTAGTGACATCCATGCTCCGGTGCCTGTACCAAAACATTTTTAATGTGAAGCAGGCAGCAGAAGCTAATGTCACACCACTTCGTGGTCTCCTTCGAGAGGACTCCTGGCTCAGGTGTGGGCAGGTGCTCAGGGACTCAGCGTGGGCTCCCCCTGGGCAGGTGGAGGCAGCTCCCTGAGGAGGGGCATCAGCTGGCTCTGGAAGCCAGCTCTGAAGGCTGCTTTTCAGCATCTTACGTTTGCTCTGCCTCAGTCTTCGTGCCTCTCTTCTCGGTCAGGGTCTCACATGTTAGTCATATAAGACAAAATAAGAGACGTTGGTGTGCGTCTCGCACGCCTTGGAAGGATTTCTGGGTATTCTGTGGAATTCTAGGTGTTGTCTACGTGAGCTATTTGATTCTGTAGAGGTCTATTCCTCTAATTATCTTCGAGCTGTTTTTCAGTCTCTGTCAATTATAGAACTGCCTGTGTGAGGCAAATGGTTCCTGTCTGTGGAAATGCAGTTTGTCTCATGAAATGTAAGTGATTGTTGCTCTGTGGATATTGATCACATCTGTTTGTATATTCACCGTAGCAATCTTGGGTGTGTGTGTGTGTGTGTGTGTGTGTGTGTGTGTGTGTGTGGTGTATGTGTATGAATATTACTCTTTCTCTTATTAATTAAAATAGTAGAATAGGCAATGGGAAAAAGTCTTCTAATAGCAAGATATTGTTTTGTGTGTGTATATGTGTGTGTGTGTCCATTCAGATCTAGGACCATAAAAAGGTAAAGACGTAGGAAATCTTACTATCATTGGGAATTAGACTAATATTTCTGATTGAGCAGGACACTCTTACTTGTATCCCAATTTTGTATCTAAGGTCTAAAAAGAGGTCTTGTGCCATGTCTTTATCTTGTGGTAAGAGCTTATTTCCAATTCTATCATCAGGATAATTCATAATGACAATACTTTCAATTTATTCTTAATTTAAAAACCTTGCATATGGGCCAGCTTCTCCATTTATCCACAAGTGTCTGCCTTATAAAGTGATGCTATTTTATTAAGGGAAAACAATGTCCCTAGCAGGGTATACATTTTCGGGAGGCTCAAGTCACAACTGTTTTTCTCAGTTTTCTATGGGATACTAAGCAAATGCTGAGTTGCCTTTGGCAGAGCAAAAGAGAATGATTCTGTGCTTCCAAATCCAGAATTCCCAGAAGGGAGCTGTAGCAAGTGTGTTGCTTAGACTCAGAGTACTTCGTGATTACCTGATTCATTAGCAAACTGGCTAATCACCTTTCTGATATGAGAACCCAGGGAAGTGCCTGGTCCTAATTCTTGTCCATGTCTTTTCCCTACAACACAATAAATAAAATTAGGATAGATTAAGTCTGCAATTTCAGTGAGTGAAAGGAACAGATAAACAGCTGTGGAAATTTGAAGAGATCAGCTGGGAGAAAAAAATAAATTGCACCAGGGCTGGCCTTGAGTCGTGTGGGGTATATTTCTGTGACTAAATGTTCCACCTACACAGGAGTTACTGCCTTTTAGTGATTATTAAAAATAGTCAAATACTCTCTCCTCAGAGTATCTGATGAGCTTTGATCAAATTGTATTGATACTGAAGTTCTTTTTTTGGTTTGAGAATCGCCAGGAAATCTGCACACAATCTCAGTGTAATCAGTCACATGTATCCTCTATCTGATAGTTTAATTTAAAAACTTTCTCTTGACACAGTTGTTATTGGGTAGCCTTAGTATTTCTTTGGTCCCCTATGGTTTGCTCTTTGCACGGTGTGGGTTTTCTTCTCTGAACCCAACAATGGAGATGCCACAGGAGGAAAAAAGTAAGATTGATCCATCTGAACCATTTTTCATTAACTAACACAAAAAAATGTGAGCACCCTCAGGGAGATACATGTGCGTGGCTGACAGGGTGGCAAGAATGATGGATGGAGAGGGAGAAACCGATTGGCCGGCAGAGAGCTTTCCAGCGTGTCTTTTCTTTTCCTCATACTGCATTGTAGGACTCATTCCCCATCTCCATAGGCAGTGCCAGGCAGTAATGCCAGAGAAGCACTGACGCAGCTCTACGGTCAGAGAAGCCAGGGGCGACACCGCTTGGACGGCTCTGAGCATTTTCTCATGTTACCTTTTCTTTCCACCCAGTAGCAGGTATAACAGTGGCTTCCTGTTCATCTCCTGAGACGAGGACCTGGGAGGCTAAGGGAAAGCTTGGGGCTGGTAGTCGAGGAAGGGTTGAATTCTGAGTGCAAACTTTGGAGTTTCTGCCTTAAAGATTCCATTCATGTAGAGAAAATTCTGGGCTGAAATCCTTCCTTCCCTTTGCTTCTCTCAGGTAGAGATTATTTGCAAAGCCAGATGATAATGTGAAGGAAATTAAAGAACTTGTGAGAAAAACAGTAAGACATATGAGGAGTAAAAGTTCTGTGGGAGAAATTTAGCAAAATAAGCTAACTCAGAGTAAGCACAATGCACAATCATTTACAAAGGATGTTAATTATTCTTAGAGAGATAAAGGAGAATATTGCAAAATAAAGCAGAGAGAAACAAATACGAAGAGAAACCAACTAGAGATACTATGTTTCTAGAAATAATCACTGAAATACAGAACCCAGCAAAGGGGCTGCGTACCAGAATGGGCCCAGCCACGTGAGTAGACTGAAATTGTGGGACAAGAAACTTTCTTGGAAGGCACTGGAAAAAGATGGAGCAATGTAGAGAATGAAATGTAACAGGCACAGAAGATGGAGGTAGAAATGTAGCAATCCCTCTACCAAGATCAAGGAGAAGAGAGATGCTGGACTGAAAGGACACACAGAGCGTTGAGCAGGAGAGGTGGCCTCACATGGAGGCATAAGGTCTATAGTAACATTAAAGGGCATCAAAGAAAAAGAGGAAATTCTACCAGCTTTAGAGCTTAAAATGAGTCATCTCTAAAGGAACAAGAAAATCCGATTATGGCCATACTTTCCAACAGCTGTATTAGATATGGGAAAGGAAAGATTAATATCTTAAACGTGTTGAAAAAGACAGCAAAACGGGAATTTTTATAATGGGTAAAATTATTTTTAAAGGTGAGATTGAAATACAGACACTGAGGAATGAAAGAGCTTATAGTGATTAGTAGTAAGTGTTCATTTTGAAAGAACGTCTGAAGGATGTATTCCAGCTCAGAGTAAGATGACTCTGGAAGGAAGTAATTACATCCAAGAGAACTCAGTGATTCCAGGAATGAGTGAATAAATAATGAACAAATATGTCACACAAAAAGATTACTCTAAAAAAATTGACTGTGAAAATAGCTCACAATGGGTTAATCATTAAATTCTAAAGATCCAACCTCAAACGGGCCAGTTCTCCAATTACGAAGAAACATTTCAGTACTCAGAAATAATTAAGGCAACTTATATATTTATTAGATGTTAACAAATGGAGCAATAGTTATTCTTGTGTATGGGTTCTCATGTAAAAGAGCAGAACTTTTATTGGGGCATATTCCAAATTGGGAATTCTAAATTTTATAATTTGTGTCCCGTTGCTGACAGACAAATTGATTCTAAAGACTCATGAATCTCTACTGATCAACAAAAGTTAGAAGTTCATTTAAATTGCATTGGGTTTATGCACTTATTTATTATCTTTACAATACCAGCATTTTGTTTACTTAGGTTTTCTCTCAGTAAGTTTTATGATTTTCCTGGTGCAAGTCTTGTATTTGTTATGTTTAGTCCTATGTACCTTTTCATCACTACTGTGGGAATTTTCCTCTTCTCTACTATAAATTCTAGTTAATAGTAATAGAAGACAATTTGACTAGCTTTGTGGATTGAAAAATATAGACTATAATTTATATACAATAAAGTACCTAGATTTAAATGTTCAGTTTCTTAGGTTTGATAGTTGTTCACACGTATATAAGCCACAGAGAAAATATGAACTACTTCATTACTATGGAGAGTTCCCTTTTCAAGTAGCTCTACTGCCTGAGACAACCACTTTTGGGTCTTTGTCATTATGCATTGTTGTTTCCTGTTTTAAATCTCTTATTAAGTGGAGTCATATAGTACTTGCTAGGTCTGGGTTTATCCATTTACTACAATGTTTTAAGATTCATGTACCATTGTAGTGGTGCACATCAGTAATTTATTCACTTTTATAGCTGAACAGTATTCCATGGTATTAATAGATTGCTGCTTACCCATTCACTTCCCAGTAGACATTTGGGTTTTTGATTTTTATAAGCAGGGCTGCTATATACATGGCTTTCTATGATTCGTATTTTTAAGTTCGTGTAAACTAGAAGTGCAGTTTCTGGGTCATATGACATGAGTTCGCCCTCCATTTTTTATTGGTTGGATTGTTTATCTCTCTGTGCTTATTTAAAGGGATTCCAGAGTATTCTTGAGTCTTTTGTTAGATATTGTCTTCAATATTTCCCCCAGGCTTTGGCTTGCCTTTTCATTTTCTTTTGCTAGAGATGTGTTTTTTGATGAGGAGAAACATTTAATTTTGATCACGTGTAATTCATCTTTTTTTTCACAGTGAATGCTTTTTGGATCTCGACTAGGAAATCTTTGCCTGCCTAAAGTTAAGAAGGTAATTTCCTGTTTCACCTAAAGTTTTTATAGTTTTAGTTTAAAAATTTTTTTATTTTATGGAAAAAAGGTAACAAAATTTCACAATAATATAATAGGAGAATAACAATAGTTACTATATTGCATGTTGTTATTTTTTACAGTAGTTGCTCAGAGTGTAAGATAAGGGAATGAAAATTTCTCCAGTTGATATTAGCACAAATTTTATTTTCAATGAACTAGCAGAGACTAATAGTATAACTGACATGCATTTTTTCCTTTTTCCTACTGTCATCTTCCCTAGTTTTTATAAAATAAAAATTATAATTTGTGACATTTCTATTTAGTAGTGGCTCTTTCATTTTTAGCATATATTTTTCACTAAAACTTTTATCAACCTCCTAAGTTGTTTTATCTGTTTTCCAGTCAAAAGCATCACAAGGCCATAATACTCTGTGTAATCCCATAATAATCTTGGTATTGCATCTCAAGCAATTGAAAAATAGTTATTTTAAAAAGAATCAACATTTAACTACATTTACTCAGATGTTCTTTATTTTCTAGCATTCTTTCATCTGCTTTAATTCACATGTCCTTTCTATAATAGGGCATTTCCCCCAATTTATGTTAGCAGAAATTAGAATCCAAGGCATTTAGTGATTTCTTCAAGGCCATAAGACAAGCAGATGGTGAAAGTTCAAACTTCAAACTAGGTCTTCTGGCATGTTTCATGTTTGATTAATAGGGTACTGCCCTTCAACTTTTAGGTTGAATTTCCTCCAAAGGGCCATGTGTTAAAGACTTGGTTCCCAGTGTGGTGCTATAGGGAGGTGGTGAAACCTGTTCTGGGTGGGACTGTAGGGGATGGCCCTAGATGTGCCCCCCAAGGGATTGTGACATGAACTGTTTGCTCTGCCACACCTTGCCCCCACCATTGTGGTACACTTTCCAGAGACTCCATAAAATGAGGTCAGTTGATCTTGGGATGGAACACTTGGGACTATAAGCCAAAATAAACGCTTTCTCTTTAAGTTAAGTGACTCAGGTGTTTTGTTATAGTGATAAAAAGCTGATCAATACAGGTAGGGATTTCAGGTGTTGGAGGATGACGATAGGGAGGGGAGTGTAGATATGGGGTGAGGAGGAATGGAGAGTAAGGAGAAGAGTGAGGTTTAATCTCCTTCACATCACATCATGAAGGGGTGCTTCTGCAGATCACAATGACCTAAATAATTTGTCCACATTGATGAAGCATAGTATAGTCTTCAGCTTCCTCATGATCCTCCTCTTTTATACATCAATAGCAGCAAAGATTTTTGTTCTTGTATTTTGTCAAAGGTGAGAGGCATTATACAACTTCTACAGCATCTTAGGAAAATAATCTGAGAGTCCACAGTGATTGTGATCTTTATGAATGTTTGCTAGACTTGGAGTAAGTGGTAGAATATATGGAACCAGAATTGGTTGCCACAGAAACTGCAGAAGTAGAAGGGATTCTGAGAAGAGCTGTTCTTTGCAACCAGACAGATCTTTGACTGTCCTGCCTCAGACAGCATCTGCCTTTCCCCAGATCCTCTTGATCACATTAATAAATTAATTCATAGCACAGTCCCAGTCTATGATGCAGCTTCTTTCTTGATCCAGTGTTATTCAGAATGCGCTCAGAGGATCTCAGTATCTATTGAGTGAAGAAAAGAAGGAAGGAAAGAAGGAAGGAAAGGAGGGAAGGAGGGAAGAAAGGAAGGAAGGAGGGAAGGCAGGCAGGCATAAGAGAATCCTGTTTTGACCAAATGCAAGCCAGGTGATGTGCACATTTATGGACTTCAGTTTTTGCATTTGTAAAGTTGGATAGCACCTAAATACTTGACTGGGAGAATTTTTGGTATAATTATGTGAAATCACAGGGTAACGTCATAGTATATCATACAAATACAGCAAGAGCTGCAAATACATATACAGTATTGCCTCCTTTATTTCCTGAGATGAATTGTTCAAGTTGTTTAACATTAGAAATCAGACTGGGATGTTTCCCTGTTGTCTGTAGTAGATATATATTTTGAGGGAGATTAATGTACACATAAAATTCCAAGGATGTATATTTCTTGCAGGTTCTGGCCTGGTAAAATTGAATCTGGTAAAAACCTGTGCTTCTGTGGTTGCGGGTTTAAATGACCACATAGACTCGTATGTTTACTTGTCTGATTCTGAGTTAATTTTAGTGGAGAGAGGAAGGTGTTCTTCTAAACTGTGTAATGCTGCTGCACACACTTCCCAGAAGCTTAATCAATCTACACTGTATGAAAAGTGATGCTTGAGCTGTTTTGCGGATGATGTTTTGCCCAGCAGACACTAGGCAGGGTGCACGGCATGTGCAAAGGCACAGCTTCCTGGAAGACAGGGTGTGCTCCAGAAGAAAGGTTTTTGAAGGGCGGTGAGTCACTGAGAGTTGGGGCTGGGAGAAGAGCTCCTCTCCTCTCCTCTCCTCTCCTCTCCTCTCCTCTCCTCTCCTCTCTTCTCCTCTCTCCTGTTTTCTCTCTTTTTTCTTCTCCTTCTACATTTTCTTTTTCTTTATCCCTCCTCTCTTCCTTCCATTTCATTTTTTTTTCTTGTTTGTACTGAGGATTGGACCCAGAGCCTTCACACAGAGCTATATCCCTTGACTTTATTTTTAAGCTGCGAGGCAAGGTCTCGTTAAGTAGCTAAGTTGTCAAGACTGGTTGAACTTGCCATTCTCTTGCCTCAGCCTCTCTGTGCTGTGATTACAGGTGTGCACCATGATACCCTGCAGGGAGTGGGTTTCTGGAGTGGGAGGCTTCAGAGAGGAGAAGGATATTTCTGAGACCTCGAGATCAGAATGCAGTTACAGGCTATGGAAGTCCATGGCAGTGTGAGGAATGAGTCAGATCATTGTAGGCTGAAGCCGAGAAGGACTGATGGCTGCTGAGACACATGATGGAATCACACCAGCCACCTCTACTTCTTCATGAATTCCACCACTGAGATCTGCAGCAGGTCTGCACGTGGAATACTGACCAACAGTGCCTCTTTCCTATTCCTGTCTTAAATCTGTCCAGCATTCATGGGGCCACCCAAGCTGTGTCTCTGAGCTCCACCAGCACCCCTCAAACAGCATCTCAAGGCATGTGGTATGTGCATTGGAGGTGCAGCCCTCCCTGGGAAGGACCCAGCCAACTCTGCGTACTGAGGTGGGGTGATTCACGTTCAAGATTGGGTGGTCAGGACCCTTGGACTTGTAGCCCCCTTGACTCCTTGCCTGTGGGTGGAATGTGGCCAGAGGGCTTAGTGGGGCTCTGTACAGCAAAGGGGCTTGCTGTTGAGGTCTAAGGGCACCTGGGCTCACATATTGCTTCGTTACCAACCAGCACTAATTGTGAAATGAATGATTGCAGCAGAAAAAATGGCCTAGAGTTTGAAATGGTCTTATTGTCTTCAAACAAATACACTATTTTAGGGATGAACAAAGATACATTTATTCTCCTATTGAGGAGAGACCTTAGAATTTTGACTCTTTTTAGCCACGTTGATCCATAGTTGATTTTGGCCCGTGACTCAGGGCTCTCCTGGCAGAGTACAGTTCATGGGCTTGGTTTCTCTTTCCTTGCCTCTAGCTGAACTTAACTTGCACCCCAGGTAGGGGACCCTTGTTTAGGGTCAGGAGGAGAAGTGGCCTTAGTAACAATGCTCCGTGGTCCTTTGCCATTTGAGTAAATTCGTACCATCAAGGCCTTAGTGTGACCAGCAAGCTCCTGGATGTTTGGTGCCTGGGCAGCTGCAGGCCCTGTATTGCTGCCAGGGGTGCCCAAGCCAGGTCAGAGCCCTTCAGGAAGGCTAAGACTGGTGTTTCAGTTGCTCTGCTTTTCTGTAATTCAATCAGCTAAATCGTAGTCCAGACTGTAACTCTGGGACCTGAATTCTCCTCTTATTCTACCATTGCCAGTTGCGAGATCCTGGAGACCTTCACATTGCAGTTATTTCTTTTGTAACAAGGAAACCTTATCATCTTACCTCACAGAAATGTTTGGAGGATCTAATGAGCCAGCGCAAGCCCAAGTCTTCGGGAATGTGTAAAAGCCCATTGAAATATAAGAGACTATTATCACTGTTGCGTGAGCCATGTATCATGTCCTGGAAAACAGCTTTGCTGCAGGGAGGGTGGAGAGGAGGGCTGTGGAGGGCTAGGGTGGAGGCTGGGCCCCAGGAGGCTAGGAAAGGAGCAGGGTGAGGTGGGGAAGCTGTTAAAGGAAATGAAAAGTAACTGGAATTCAAGAGCTCTAGGGTTAGATCCTAGGCTAGGCATCCACACATGCCATTCAATTAACACCACAATATTTAGGTGTTTTTCTTTCTGCTTATTTCTCATCATTTTTCTTAAAACGGAAATTCAAATAACCTAATTTCCTGAACATTATTTGTCTTGTCTCTTACTACTCTTCTGAGTCTCTAATCTCAGCTCCAGCCCACTGGATGTTTTTCTGGAACATTCCGACCACGTGTCCATTCAAGCCTGAGCACTTGTTGGCTCATTATGCACACATCTCACTTGAAGTCAGAAGTCATCTTGTTAGAGAGACCTTTATGTTTAATACAGTATCTTGATGTTTAATAATGTATTTTTCCTCCTGGTATTATTTTCGTTACCTGTCATTATTGATTAGTATCAATGCATTTACTTATTTAGCTTGGGTGATTTGTCATCTTTACTAGAATGTGAAGTCTTCAAACGCTAATGTTTTTGTCTATTTACTACTATACTTCCAGTAATAGGAAAGGGGTTTGTGTTATAATAGGAACTCAATAAATATTTGTCAAATGAATGAATAAATGAGTAGAACCTAAATTGTGTGAGCTTATTCACAATTAGATTTTGGTTTCTGGAGGTGGCTACCAGTGATATACTTAAACCTAACACCAAACATTTGCAGAATTCCAAATGTTAGTACTTATATCCTTTGATTAAGTTCTCTCTCTCAAAATGTTTGTTCTTGAATTTTGATCTAAAGC